CGATGTGGCGTTGGACGTGCCGGACGCCAGTACACTCTTCCGAAAATTGTGTGCCACTGCCGCCCCCAACTTTACTTATGAACGCAAGAACATGGTGGCCTTCTGCTACGGCGTGCGTTCTTCACCAAAGCGACAGCTCATGTACGGCTCTGCAGCTGGAGAAGGATATGCTGCTTGAGTCATCACCGAATTTATTTGGCTGGGTGCCAAAAAGGGCATTTTTGCCCTCTCGTGCCACGTCATTGGGCCAACAGAGCACCGCGCAGACCTTCTTGACGCCGACAACGAGCTCGGAGTTATTGTGGGCTCCGTGAAGGAGGGACCTCGTGTGCGAATGGTGGCGCGAATTCGTGTCCCATTGGCCGGCGACGTTCGAGCGGTGATGGACACTATCGTCAAAAACTATGAGAAATACTTTTCCTCCGTGCTGTGTGAAAAGCAGCCAACGCCTGAGCTGGAGGCAATGCCCTCGTATTTGCCCGACACCGTCGTTCTTCAGCTTTACCGCGATGATGGTGAGGCGGAGTCTGCATATTACATGGATGCAAACTCCCTGACATTTGTCGCCTTGGGAGATGCCGAACGGCCCGCTTTGTGTGACATTGATGCCGCCGCGCAGCTACACAACGAAGGGGTCCAACGAGCACTGGTGTCGGCAGCAGGAATTGTCTCCGGCATTCGCCGCCGTCGTCTGCGCATTCCCTTTGGAAATTCAGAACTCAGTCAGTTGTTGCGCCGAGCGTACAATACGGAAAAAGGCAACCGCAAAAATGGCCTCACTGGTTCTACCGAGACGGCTTTATTGACTCACGCCTTTTTGGATGCCGTGTTGGCGGAGGAATCGTTCCATTGTTTCTCCACGACTCGTCGTGTTGGCAATATTCTTGGCTCGACCGGAATCGGATCCACCACAAGGGATCTTGCCGTTGACAAGTGGCGTCCTGATCAGGACATCATGGAGTTGCGAGATGAACTCATGATTGCCCGGGCCGTGTACGACTGCAGGCATTTTGGCTATGAATCCAACAGGCCATTTCAGACATAAAAGAGGAAGGGATGAAGCGCGTCAACGCCATTGAGAGCAACCATGAGGAGGCGCGGGAACGGCAGCCGAGTGTGTTTTGCGAGTGTGCCAAGCATGAGGCGGAGAAGATGACCAAAGAGCTTGAGCGGAGAGATGGGGCCACGTTGGATGAACTTGAGAGGACTCTGGAGGCGAAAAAGAGGGAGAGCGGTGCTCTGCAGGCTGACCGCGAAAGCCGCAATTGGGAGTACGAGCATACGGTGGAGAAGATCCGAACGAGGAAACAGACCGAGGAGAGTGCCTCTGAGAGGTTGCGGCAGGCGACGCAGCAGCTGGAGCAGGAACTCAGCCTACGGCAGAGCGCCATTGAGACGAGGGAGCAGCAGCTCGAGATGGTTCAACTTGATGGGGCGAGGGGGCGAGAGGCCGTCATGCGGGAGCGGCATTCTATTGAGGCGATGCGAAAGACCGTCCGGGAGGAGCGGCGCCGCCAGCGGAGGCAGTGGATCCATCAGATTAAGGAAATAAATGCAAAATTCCCGGAACCGGTGTGTCCCTTGGCCGAGGAGCGGAAGAAGAAGCGCGAGCAGGCGACAGCCAAGGAGGACGTCGCCGAGAGGGCTCTTGCTGCCGACATCAAAATGATCGAGGAGTATTTGCCGAGGCTCATTTCCGTTGAAGACATTCCTGTGAATCCGGAGGAGACGGACGTCATTCGACGCCAGTTTGACGAGGTCTTCACGCAATAGGAACAGACATACTTGGCCAGCGCTGAAGAGGAACAGGCCCGCAAGGAGAGGCTGGGACGAGGACTCGAGGTGTATATCGACAGCGTATGCTTGATGATTACGTGGCAAAGAAAAATGAAAAACTGCATGATGCCGAGGCAACGGAACGCCACCTCAGTTCTCTTGTGGATCGGGTGCTGAATTAATTACGCAACGGGCTCCGTGTGAAAAAGATACCGAGCAAGGGCAATGCTCGCAGACGCCTATATTTTCTCTCGGAGGACTGCAAACGTATTCATTCCTGTGAGCTGGACCATCAGGGATTCCCGTTAAATCGCAAACGGCCTCCAGTCACCATGTGGATACGTGACATCGAAAAAGTTCTCATCGGCCTGTCCACAACCTCATTTGTGAACTACAGCGGCGAGGCACAGCTGGCAAAGACACGCCAGGAGGCAGTTTCTGACAATGGGACGCACCGCCATGATCCCACGCAAAACATCACTCCGTCCAGCCTTGGAACAAACAACCACCGCGCATTCGCACTTTTGCTTCGCGGTGGGAAATTACTGGATGTGGTTTGTGAGACTGACAGCGACTGCGAGGCCTGGCTTGTCGCTCTCAAGCGTCCACTGCATTTGAGGACTCCTGCGGAAAGGCTTCTTGAGGAGCGACGGGGTACGTGAAGAGACGCGCGTGCGCAGCCGAGCGACAATGACGTGGAAATGCGGTGGGGCGGCCCACTTGACACCCGCAATATGCGAGGATTTCTTTCTTTGGCCCCCGATGCAGCAGCTCTTTGCGGCGAGCATCACATTCCGCCAGCCCTCTTCCTTCGGGTGGAACAGGAGCCGGCTGAAAAGCCTGAAAGGCGCACAATAACCGCCTGTGGCATCCGAGTTTGCTCGGGCCTGGATCTCTTTTGCTCTGGCCGACTTTACGACTACTTGTGCGAAAAGCGTGTCGTTCCGCCTCCGCACTAATGCCGTGGGATCTTTTATTGTTTTTCTCTTTTTTTTTCCCCCATGGCTATTTGTGGTTTCCTTGTGTGCTCTTTTGGATGTATTGAGGCGGCTGGTTGGAGAGAGGCTAACTGCCGCACAATTTTGTGTGAAGAGGACTTTTGAACCCCACGTGTTTGGGTTATCAGCGAGTAAAGAAAAAGGGAAATGATGGTCACCACCAGTACCGCTGTTGCTGCTTTTCTTTTCTTTGCTGCTGCTTCTTAAATGGGCTATCCATCATTTCTTGTGGGTTTTCCACACCCTTCTTCCCTTTTTCTCGGTTTCTGGATGCGTTTTTTTAGCACCGCCGTTGTGGGACCATTGCTTTGCCAACATGCATACGGGGGTGGTGCTCCTTCCCATAGATGTGCCGTGAAAAAATATTAATATATTTTCAAATGCGCCGTGTGCTTTTCTGTGTGCGTGTAATGTGGGGCTTAGGCCTCACCCAGGCAGGGGCAATGACACCTTTGCACCATTGCGATGCGACCGTCGAGGCGGTGCACTAGCAAAATAAACTGTGCGTTCCATAACATACAGAGTATTCGCTACTGTGGGAATCGAACACTAGTTTTTTTGGTGAAACTACCAGGGCTTATCCACTGGGTGCGGTGCGTTGATTCGGCAAAGGGAACAGAAGGAGGTCCTCTATGAGGTGTGCCTGTGGAGGGAGAACTGAACTGCTACCTTGGTGGCTATAAAATATTGGTGTTTATCTGAAACGAGAGGGCGCATCGCTGTGCATGACGAGACTTTATTCATACGGACGTGAGGCGGCGGGTGGAGGAGGCCAACGGGCATGGGCAATACGAGAGCGATGCCATTGCTGCCTGTTGAGATGATTTGAGCAGTGATGATGATAACGATGCGGGCGAACACTCTCAGGTAGAAACGCTCTTCTCGCTGTCAGGATATTAAAGTTGCACGGTAATTTGCCACAGGTTGACCGGACCTCTTTTTGTGAGTTTTTCCGACACGTCGGTGGAGCTGCTCGGTGTTCTCCAACAGGGTGTTCTGCTCTGCACAGGCGTGGCTGCCCGAAGATTGTATCGGCCACGGACGGACTGAAGTGTGCACGACGATCATCCAACAGATCCGGCGTGTTGCATTCACCGCACTGGACGATCAATACCGCATTGGCAACGTTGGGGACTCTCTGCTGTTCCTCATGCCACACGAGGCAGGATGCATCCCATGCGTGAGGACCCTTTATCGCCAAGGAGAGAGGGATCAGCGGCTCCTTACGGGAAATGAGGCGGCAGCAGCAGCAAATGGAAGAATGATAATGCGACTCTTCTCTTTCCACCACCTGACGACGTTGGACCCAAAAGGCGGACCACATGGGAATGCAGAGCACAGCCACTTACGTGTGCACTGTTATTCGACTTGTCGTGAAGCGGGATGGAGCCGCCAATGACTCACCTGGTGGGAATGCGAGCTGGAACGATGACCTCGCCCGAATTGCACCGTGTGTGTTCCCATCGTACATGCGGGCGCACGCAGGGCACTCCAGAGAGCTTATAAACCGTTTTTTAAATTTGTGTATGCTCACATTGGTCACGTCGCACACGATTTCCTTCTTGACAAGAGACCCGGTGATGTTTGGGCACAACTGCAGAGCTTTATTGGGGAGGACGCAAAGACCGCGAAAGAGGCGTCTTCTCTCGACACACAGGAGGGCGGAAGAGGGTGTGAGGGCTTTCGAGGTTGGATGCGACCGCAGTTGGCGGTGCGTCACGATGATTGGCCGCGAGATTTGATTGTGCGGAGGCAGCGCAGTGCGACTTGTAGTGCTGGGCGGGGAATTGAACGGAGGCTGGCATGGAGTGAAGAGAGAAGTGACACACCCACGAAGCAAGAGGCCAATGTTGCAGTGGCGTTGGTGAAGTGTTTTCCATGGGATGAGCTGACATGTTTCTCCCATGGCGCTTAGCTGTGCCCGCGCCAGCCCGTGTTTTCTATCTTTTTGGCTCCACAGAGTGTCCAGGCTTTTGGTTCTTGCTTGCTTGGCACTCCTCCACGATGGGAGCCAACGAACCACGACGACCCATCGGGATGCCAAACCCACGGGAATTGTGGGCTTCAGCGTGGTCAATCTGGATCAGTGAGCGGAGACCTGCGGCACCTCATTCTGCGGCGAGTGTCTCACGCACTGTCACGGGTATCTGCGCCTGTGTGTGTCTGCCCTATGACCGGCATTTGTATGGCGCACGCCCTTGGCAAGGCTGAGGGAAAGGGCGGGAATCCTCACTGGCACGTGTCTGCAGTCATAATGCGTAAATTGTGGAATTGTTTGTGCGGCAAGGCAGCAAGGTCGCTCAGGAGAAGCAGCATAGACTGGGAGTGCACTTTCTAGCGGCGCGTGCTTGGTGACTACCGAGGCAATTCCCCAAAGGGACGTATGTGGGTGATGAAGATGCACTGGATATGCGCAATGCCATGCCTCGTGACAGGGAGCGAGGGAGGAGTAGCGTGTTTCCTCCTGCCATAGAACTGTCAACTTTTGAGGAGTTGGAGTGAGGCTAAGGGGACGAGTGTGTGTGCCTTCACCTTCTTGCGGGAGGGCGCGCAGAGGTTGTTTTTCTTTTGTTACCTTGTTGTCATTGTGCCTGTGTTGACGTTATTATTATTATTTTTTCCAGGGGCATTTATTGTGCGATTTGTGCGTGTTTGGTGTCCAACGTTTTCCGCACCGCCAAATGGGATGTTGCGCAGGATCGGAGTACATGGATGTGCGAGGGCATTGTGTCGCTCGCCCGTAATAACACACACGCACAGTTTCAGTGAGTCTGACACATCGCGTTCTTCAGAACGTTCGAAATTGCTTGTGGGACATCACTTCATTTGTGGCGTCGGGACAGTGAAGTAAATGGAGAGATATGCCGAGAACGCAATGCCCCTCCATAATGCCGCAGGCTGGCGGCGACAAGGATCAGAGAGCCTCTACCCAACGTTGAGAAGACGGCAGCACTCTGATGATCCGGTTTGCTCTTTAGGAACTTCTAATGTAGTGTACACCGTGTGGGCCCTTTTGCTGCGGATATGCAGAAGGGTGATGTGGGGTGGAATTATTGTTGAAGGCAGCACGGACGCCGCCTGACCTTTATGGGAGGGATGCGTGGTGTTATTCCGTGCTTCCCTGCCTGCGTTGTCGCACTCATGCTGTGAGTGCGGATGGCCACAGTAGTGGAGCTGAATACGGTTCAATGTGTGTTGCTCACGGGGACTGCGCGACACATGTTTTTTGTTGGGAGGCCCAAAAGGAGGGGCGCATCGCCGTTGCGTGATTCCCGCGGCAGTTCATTACTCTGCGACTGTGCGTGCCGCTGCGCCGCTGCCCCACTGCAAGCCTTCGTCTTTGTGAGAAATGGGGAGCGTGACTGCTGTGGCGGTGGTCGAATGTTCCCGAATTGGTGCTTTTGGTGATCCCACTTGGAGCGCCGAGCAGCGAGGGGCCGCACACGCCCAGGAGGCTGGAGTGTCAGCTGCAACCGCACCTGCGATTTGTTGTTGGTATGTGGCATGTTTCTTTGGTATTTTTGTTTTTGGTGATATGCGGGGCAGCGATGTGTTGGCGTGTGCGGGCTGCTCATGGCTGCCGGTGTTGCCTTTCCTGCTGTTCTCCCGCTCCAGTCCTTTGCGTGCGACGGACCAAACGTTTTTACGGGCGTGTGGTGGGGCCGCGTTCTTGTTTGGGAAAAAAGCCTTTCGCAGGCATAATGAGACTGCCGTCCGTGCCATGCGAGGCAGTGGGGAGTTTCCTGGGATTTATTGGCGGGGTGGCACCGCACCCATGCCGTGTGGCAGGTTTGTATTCCGCAATGCACGGTGATGGGGATGTGCGGTGACAACTTCCTCCAGTGGAGCGACACGAGCAGCACGGGGAGCGGAACGGAGGAGTGGTGGCTGCGTGCTTCCCAGTGATACGTGAATGGCGAATGCAATATGAAAGGCGGCGTCACGGCACTCTTTTGTCATGCACACCGCAGATATTTTCCATAAAGCATGCAAGTTGCAGTTTTTTCTGTTGTGTGGGGGATTACCGTGATGCATCGCTGTTGTGGCGTGTGTTTTTGGGTGTCTGCATGTGGTCGCTTCTGCACCGAATTCTCCTACACTTTTTTGTTTTTCTGCCAGGGTTTATGCGCGCATTTCATCTTGCAAAGTGTGTGCGGTGGTGGCGGTGCCACACGGGTGCGGGCCGTGGCGAGCGGTATGCGTGGACGAACTCTCCGTGCGCACCACGTTGTTATTATTGTTTGCCCTCTCCAACACGGTGCTGGGTGGATGACATTCACTCGCCGTCGTTGCGGTGGTCCTCGTGCATTTGGCTTTTATCGAATACTGCGTGGATGACTCTCTTGTTGTGGCTTCGATTCATGACTGTGCCTATTGTCTTTCTTTTTCTCATTTTCCACGTTGGGTGGTTATTGTTTAGATCTAACTCAAACTAACTAAGAAAGCAAGGAGAAACAATGTCTGGAAGGCCGGAGAGTGTACAAGGCGGCAATGTGGAGAGTCAATCGTCCAATGTCTCGCAGGGATATCGGAGGAGAACGAGGTCGGACTTTGAGGGTGACACAGATCACTCCTCTGCGACTCGCAGAAGATTGGAGGAAACGCGTCGACCACAGTGGACCACGTACAGCTACATAAAGGACATTCTGCTGGAGGGAAGCACTAACAGGGCTGACATGAAGCTGAATGATTTTCTTCGGAGCTACTTGGGTGGCAGGGGAGTTGTGGACACCAATGAGAACGTCACGATGGGGATGTTTGTTCAGGATCCCGAGATGTTTATCCAAAACGAAAGGTTATTACGCATAATAACGGCATCGCCGTCATACCAAGCGCTGGAGGGTATTTATAAACTCCATTGCGAGGATGTGTTTTCTCTCGAGCAATGGAGGGACTATGAAGGAAAGGATACGGTCACTCCACTTGCAAGGGGAAAAATAAACAGAGTACTCACTCAGGTACTGAGAGAAGAACGCCGCGAGGCAGAAGAAAGGGCAAGGCGGGGCCAACAAGTAATATTTAACTTATTTGCTAAGATCGAAGATTTGTTGTTTAGAGGAAGAGTTCGCGTCAATGAAAAGAAGCTGAATGATTTTCTTACGATGGAATTTGACGGCAGAGGCATTTTGCGTGCCAATCGGAATGTCTTACTGAGGGATTTTATCAGTGATCCCACGAGGTATATCCCCGATGCGGGAGTATTGGGCGAAATACAGGCAGCCGATGCTTATGCGAGGATGGAAGGGGCTGTAAGGGACGAAATGAATATGGAAGAGGATGTACGCAGGCTTCACGAGAAAGGTGTGGACAATCTACTGAAGTGGTCATTAGCTGCCGAGGAGGTAAAGGCAAATGTTCATGGAGCTAATAAACAGTTTTTGGATGCAGCCTTCATTGAATTGATGAGCTCAATGACGATGAGTGCGCCGATGAAACTGGAGGGATGCTACGAGTCTGTGTACAATGCGAGGTGGCATTGTGTCGTGGAGGTTCCTGTTGGCGAGGGGACGGGAATGTATGTGAGGGAAGGGGAAGCACAGCAGTCATGGACGTGCAGGGCAGTTGGCAAAACTTTTGAAAAGAATGACGGTGTGCAGCAATCCGGTGCAGTGCGTCCCAGGCTGATGGTGCTCACCTCGGACAAGGGATGGCCGTACACGTGGGGACAAGGGCTGAATGAACTTATTCATGACTGCTATGTGAACTGCGAGGTGGATCGAGTGTGGCAGACCGTCAAGGGCGGTCTCACCGAGTGGTTCAGCAGTCACGGTAAGAACAAAATTTCGCCTGATCCGTTTGTGTTGATTGGGACGCCAGGGATCGGGAAGTCGATGGCTGCCGGCTCGTACCTTCTCTACCAGCTGCTGCACTACGATGCGAAGCGACTGCAAATGGTTGCGTACTTTATTGGGAATCGAAAATTTCTTTTTGACAAGACCGCCAAAACGGTGGAAAAATACAGTGCGGCGTCTAATATCGTGGATATTTTGGACGGGTTTTCTGGGCGTGGGTTGAAGGGGTATATTATCTACGACGTGGCAATGAAGGGTCATCAAACGTCTACTGCTTTGCCTTGCAAGGGATGGGGCATGATTGTGGTGACACCGCCAGACAAAAACAACTACGAATCGTGGGCGAAGCTGGTGCGAGCGAAAAAAATCATAATTAATTGCCCTGACGAGAGCGATGTGAGGGCAATGTGCATTTGGATGAAGCACAATCGGCAGCTTGAGGAGGAAGAAGCGGACTACTGGAGGGAGGTGAAGGATCGCATGGATAAAGTGGGACCACTTCTTCGCTACATCTTTGATGACAGCGAATACAAATCTCGGCTTGTCTCGTGCGAAAGTAGAGTTAAATCAATGAACCTTTTTGCTACCCACTATTACTCTATTTTGGGGACTAATGAAGTGTGCGATGATAGCCACATCTCTCACAAAGTTGTAAAGGTCGTACGAGTACGAGGGGGAAGCAATTTAGAATTGCCTTTAAATGCACTGATGTCTCCTTATCTCGGAAATTTAGTGACATGCAAGTTGGCGGAGTTAATGGCGCCGAATAATTTTATTTTACTCGTATTGGCCATTAAGGACGATCTCTTATCAAAACCCCTTGAAAAGCATTCCGTGTTTACTTTTTTTAGCGGGGCCTTTGTAAGTGCAATAATACCGAAACTCAGGGAGCTGAAACTGCAAGAAGATGCTCCGCCACATCTCTGTGCGCTGGAATCACGTCCACATGAGCGCCCTCTCAAGCCCTGTATTTTACCGTTACTGGAAAAATTTAAAAAGAAGATTAATATAGAGTCTCGGGTGCTGTACAAACCGGAGGCTCAAAACTTTCCGTTGGTGGACGCCTTTTTCTTCATAGAGTCACCGCAGAAGACGCTGGTTGGGCTGCGGATGGCTACGGCGGGTGGGCACCACACGACAACCAGCACTGTGCGGCAGTTCACTGAGTGCCTGGCGGCATATTTTAATGGTTGGGAGGAGTTATCCCGAGAAATGTCGTGGGAGATGATTTACGTGCAGCACGAAAACAGCAAAAAGATAACGAAATGGCAGAGATGTGGTCCCGTCAATCCCAATAATGAAACCGACGCTGAAAAAGAGATTGTGGCGTTCTGGAACGGAAAGGTACATTAATACCAGTTTATTTTAACATTGTGTTTTGTAAATAAAATCCGAGAAAAGTGAACACAATAATCTTGGAGGAAGAGGGATAGGGAAGAAAGTTGGGGAAATAATTGGGGGACAAAGCGCATTTTGCTTATAGTGAATTTTCACAGGGAGTATTTTAGCGATTCTTAATTTTTTTTTGTGGCCACCGGGTTTATTCAGAGAGTTTCTTGTGAGAGAGAATCATTATGATCCACGGTGCCACAGCAATAAAATTCCTCTATTTTAGTTTTTTTTTTTTTAAGGGTTCCTTTGCCATTAGAAGCTTCTGTGAAATATGAATGCCGCAGAATTCCTCTGTGGTTTGGGGATGTTGTGAGAAGAATGCTTGCGAGGATGGCTGGCTGCCCAAATAAATTCATATCTCGTGCAAACGAAGATATCTCTTCACAACTTTTTCCTCTTCTACCGCACTTTCTTTTGGGAGACCGCGATTGAGGGAGTCAGGGAGCCGACAGCTGCCAGACGAAATTATTATTATTATTATTTATTATCTTTATTATTTTTTTACAACCATACCAGATTCCTGCATGTTTATTTGAAGAAATGGCACTGATTTTTTTTTTTACACGGCGACGGAATGGAGCAAAATCGGTGCCCATATGTTGGGCTTGGCACGCCAGCATGGCGAGATACAGTTGCAGCTCATCTTCTTTGATGAAAACAGGCCGTTGGATGCGGTGGTGACCGTCGCTGCAACCATGACGTGTCTACGATTGGTTTCAGCAAAGATCGCCAAACACTTGGAGGATTCGACCCATGCGGGGCACTTGGCGAATCGCCGGGCGTGTCAATTACCAAATTTTGGGTTCAAGTGCTCCTGCCCATAATTTGGAGGCGCGGCAAGGGCTGACCATTGCGGAAGGGCGGAGATCAAAGTCGGACAACGCAGTCGCGGAAGTGCAGAATCGAGGCGCGCAGCTTCAACATTAAATGGAGGAAGCGAATAACCACTTTTCGGCACGTGCGTCCAACACTGCGGTGGCGAACGGTCTTCTTGCGCAACGAGAATCGGCGCTTGCAGGGCGCGAAAGCCATTTGGAGACAACCCTTGCCCAACCCCAGGAACGAAAGGCACGCATCGGTGCCTTGGAAGCGCGGCTTGCGGCTTGGGGCGCCGATTCGCCCGGACGGCGGGGAGTTCCCTCTTCCAGGAGAGGGCCGCCAGATGCGCTCGCGCACGGGTCCAAGGATGGTGCATCGACACCACACCACCACGAGCATTTGATAGCCGGGGGCGCGGCTGCACCCACAATTCCCCAACCCGTTTTCACGGGAGAGCGACGGCGGGTCAATACTCTTGCGTCATTGGGCATTGTGGGCGACCGCGTTTCCCTCACCCCGTGACTTCGCCCTTTCGATCTCCGGTTTCAGAAGAAGTTTCCGGTTCAAATGAAGAGAATCCGGGTTTTCTTTGAATTTGTCGTCAACACTTGGGTCCTGCGAATTTGGAATGAAGGCATCCTTGGAATTCTATTCGAAATCCGGAGCGCATGCGATTACTGGCACCGTGGGGACGCTCACGCCCGGATCGCCTTTGGCATTTCTGGTTTTGTGGATGCGCGCGTTGCAGTTGCGTCGGGAGCCCAAGAGGCAGTTTATGGACTTGGGCAGGGTTATACCGCGGGTCTTCCGGTTGCGGATCGTGATTAAATCCGACCCCAGCATCCCGATCCAAAAACTACGTGCCCGCCTTCGCACGGCTTTTCATGAGGCTGACACCTTCGCGAGGGTGGCTCAGTCTTTCATGGATCGACGGGGAACCAAACGCACTGTGAGATGCCAACGATGCCATACCTATGGACACGAGGCATCTACATGCAATGTGCGCCCGAGAGGGAATTAATTACAATACAGGCGTCCATCAAAAAACTGCAGAGGGGATGCCGCACGCCGCTCATGAATGCTGACGACGGCAGTCACACCCAATCCACCACCTCCCGCTATTCCGCACAGGCATCGCACCGCACCGCTGACGCTTCATCCGATCGTTCAAACTGCCGACGGAATTGACAAGAAGGGCGGAAGAGATGACTTGAGAAATGTGGGTGACATCAAATTGGGAGCGGAGAATGCCCCTGGCGGGGCAAGCCTCAAACTTTTGCCGCACGCACGAACAGCCGATGAGCGCGGAGAGCTGCGCGGCATCGTTGATGGCAATATTAGATGTGGCGCCATAGTCCAGAGTGCGGCACGCCAGGATGCTGCGGTCCATGTTGGAAATGAATCGAACCCCGCTGGACATGATGATTCTGGGGTTACAAAAAATTGCGGTGCGATCGGAGACGCGGCGGGCACGCCCCTTAACAGAGGAAGAGATGAATCAATTTATCCACAGCCGGACCAATTGGAAGGAACGTGTTGTCTTACGACTTGCGTGGATAACGGCGAGTCGTTGGTCCGAGGTTGCGGCCTTGACAGCCAAAAATTTCACACTGAAGCCGGAGGAACCTTAATTTTGGACTGGTCCCTGGCGCCGAAGACGGCGAAACCGGATCCCCACCGCGCCTCGCGGTTTGTGAGGACACGAGGGCAGGACGCGTTAGGCACTATAAAGTTATGCAGGACGCTTCGACGCAACGAAAAGCTCACTAATATTACGACTGCTCAAGTCGAACGAGTTCTGGCTCCTTGGGATGCCACGGCGCATTCCATAAAACGGGGTGCGTTGAGACACGCTGCTCAAATCGTGGAGACATACAATTTGAATTCACACGTGATCTCGCAGTTGGCGAAGCACGTCGATCCGTTCGACCTCTCCCAGAATACTGTTTGATATTTGTGGAGGTACATCACACTGCTGACCCAGTTATCGTCGCTGGTCGCATTGATGTGAAGGGAGAGGCTGCGGAAGGGCAGGAACCCTGGCTGAGAGCAGAGGAGCATTTTCCATTATTTTAATCACAATCGTGCTGCTACAATAAGGAGACGCGCGACAAGGACGCGTCTGGCCCCTCCACAAGATGAGAACGCTATCCCGCTACAGCAAGTCAACGTGCCCGTATTGAACGTAGAGTGGATCAGGGGCCGGTTGAGTCCGGCTACCTTGGAGAGTCTCATGCAAGTTTGGGGACGCGTCGGGCGGTCCCCTTTCCCTCCGTCCTCTTTTACATCGGGTGAAAGCTCACGGAGGATTCCAGTCTATGACGCGCGATTGTTGAAGGAAGCGGGAATAATGGAGGACGCTTCGTCTGCAACAACAGTCGGATGGATAATGCCCTTTCTCGGTTGTGGAGGAGAAACCTGCCGGTTTACGACGACGATGGATTGCGTGGCCACGCGACAAGAAAAGAGACGACCCTTACGAGGCTAATGTTCCTCTTTTACACATTTCCCATTATTTGCCGCCTGTGATGGCTGAGGCCGCTTCCTGCCTGGACTTAAAGGCATTTTTTTTTCAAGTCTCTTTACCGCGGGAGACTCAGCATCTCTTCCGATGCCGCGTGGAGGACGGCACGCTGGTGGAGCTCACACGGCTCCCAATGGGATACAAGGCCAGCCCAGAAACTCTCCGGATTATTACTTCGGCAATTGCGGGCTGACGACGGTGGCTCACTCTCTCTGGGCTGCACCTCCATTGGTGTGCGACGACGTTTGGATCGATAATATACGCATTGCAGGGTCGAAAAGCGACTCGACATCGTGGGAAGCTCAGGTGCTTTGTAATGCGGATGGCCGTCACGCCACGAAAGACGAGGATCGCGAATCGGGCGCCACGCGGTACATCTTTCTTTGGGTGCGGTTTGATCACACTCACCGGGCGGTGTCCCTGAGTGACAAGTTTTTCTGGTCTGTATGCGCCATGCCGTCGCTGAAATCTTTAACCATCGCGGGAGTGGAGTTATGGCGTCACGTTTTTTGTACGCGGCTGCCATTTTTGGTCAGGCGTTTATGTGAATACTACTTTTTCATCAAGGCAGTGCGACGACGATTGTCCGCACTTAACCGGGGATTGTGCAGGGGAAATCCCCGGCGAACCTTCCGCCATCAGCAATTGGTTTGGGCGAGGGATTGCGACACATCATCGAGAATATAATCGTAGGCGAATCATCAAGTCCACGGAAAGGGCATCGGCCACCATCATCACGGACGCATCGCTCCATGGATGGGGAGCCGTTTTCATTTCAGACCCCGGCGACGTTAAACTTGCCGGAGGAAAATGGAGGAGGAGTTCTTTTCTTATCATGCAGGCCGAGGCACGCGCGGTGCTCTTAGCCTTATCGGCCTTTCCCGCCATCTTGCCATCCACTATGGACGTTTTGGTGGACAACACTTCGCCGCAAGGAGCGGCGAATAAAGGCAGCTCAAAATCACACGCCATGACGTGGGGGCTGCGACGGATATATGAGTTTTTGGACTCTCGCGGAGTGCAGGCATTCCTTTGCTTACGTACGGTCTGCAGAATACCCCGCAGACGGCATATCACACGGTCGTGTTTTTTTACGCTTTAGGACTTGGCAAAGGGCTGGAACTTGCGAGGGGCAGCGGCGGAGTCGTTTGGCTGGAGGGCCCCAAAGTGTGCCAATTTGTAAGTAATAAATGTTTTATATCCTACATGAGTTCAAAAGGCCACGTAAGCTGGTCACGATTGTCGCAAACAGATGGTGTATATATACTTAATTGGTGTTAAACTTTGAGGGTATGGTGAACTCCCATTCTTGTTCCATTCAACCCTTTTTTATTTTTACTTGGTTTGGTTTTTATTATTGAAAATATCTGGATTTGGCCAGCGGCGCAGGTGAATATCTATATATATATTAAGGTAATTAAAAGTTTTGGTTTGCAGTTTGGTGTGGGAGTTCTGCAATTGTGCTTATTCCAACCGACGAATTTGTGTGTGCAGCTGCTGCTTGTGCGTGGTTCTGTGACTTGTCTTTTTTTTGCTTTTGCTCTGCGTGGACGGAAAGTTATTTTGTACTGAAGGCTGCACGCAAGTGACAGGATTAATGGCGATGATGATGACTGGCCGTGTGCTGCTGGTGTGTGCCCTCTGCGTGCTGTGGTGCGGTGCTGCGGCGGTGTCGTCAGCGGACCGCTGCAGTGAAGGTAACGGGAATTTATTGACGCACATGAATAATGCTGAAAGTGACGGGGTATTTCCGAGAACGGACTGCGGTTTGTTATCCACTCAGATGGGATTAATAGGGGCGGCTGAAGCTTGGGGACAATGAGGGAGCAGAATTGGGTGGTGCAGTCACATCGGAAAAGCCCAAGCAATTATTGTCTGGTACTACGTCAAAAGGTAATAATGAGGTTTTAACGCCTGGTCCACCAGCACCGCTGCCGACACCTAAAGCATCGGATCAAGTTGAACAGGAGAAGCTCTTAAAAACGGTTGATGCAAATGGAATTGGCGATACCAGGAATCCCTCAGGTGGTAAGGCAACAGAGTCCCAACGCCAAAGCGTTGGTCAATCTTCATCTGGCAGTACTGTCACTCAACATGGCTAAGCTCACAATTTGAATAATCCTTCCAAGAGTAATGCATCCTCCAATTTCACGCCGACGGATGACAGTGGCGTTAGTATTTTTCCCAACACTCCCGAACTGGGGGTGGGAGCACTGGAAAAAGTTGACGAAGATGAGGATAAAAGAAAAAACCAAAACAGACAGTACAAGAAGAAGCGGAAGAACACAAAGAAAAAAAAATGATAATTCACCAACAGGGACACCTGAAAATGCAGCGAAACTGAAAACATACCACACGCAACATCACCATCACTAATAAAAGCACCAGCAGAAGTGGCACTGGAAACAATTGCAAAAACGGAGGGAGATTCAACACAAGCACGAGTGGATGGACAGTAGAGCTCTGAAGATACCGTGCCCGTGCAACAGCTACAACAACCCCAAAGCGACATGAAGTCAAACAACAATTCACAAACTGAGGGCGTTTGCCCCCTTCACAGCCAATTCGCAGAATGAAACATCTAACGGCCATGCAGAAACAAAGCCACCATCACCCACGGAAAACGGTATTTTCGCCAATAATAAAGCTGACAAGAGCACTGAAGAGGGCATCCCGAACAATGATCCGGCGGCTGATGGTGCAGGGACACGAAAAGAGAAACAAAATGAAAATAAAGAAGCCAATCCGAAGGAAAGAGTACTGGCCACAAAAGCCACAACGGGGGGCACGCCGACGACTGGCGACAGTGACGGCAACACCGCGGTCTCCCACACCACCTCCTCTCTTTTGCTTCTTGTTGTTGCGTGTACGGCTGCGGTGGTGGCCGCGTGAGAGTGAGTGTGAGAGAGCCGTGCACCGCCCGCACACACACGCGTCCTTCTCTCTCTGTGTGTGTGTCCCCTTGCATGGACTCTCGCCCTCACCTCACCCCACGAGACACACACAATAATGTGCCCATTGTATATATGCATGCACACCCATGCAGGCCCGTTGGTGCTCTCTTTTGCACGACACGCACCGCTGCCGTCCTGCCTGGCTGCATGGGCGGAGCACCGTAACTGTTTCTGTTTTGTTTTTATTGCATTGAGTGGGCGACCTCACTCTCTCTCCCTCTGTGTGTGTGTTTTGCTTTACGGGAGCAATGAGAGTGTGTGCGCTGGTCGTCCCACGCTTCGGCTTTTTGTTTTGTTTTCCTTTTTGATTTTGTGGTTGAGTGCACCCATTCCGCGGCTGCGTGTGTGTGTGTGTGTGCGATGATATGAGTAATTTGCGTGTGTGCTATCTGCCTCTCTCTGCCGTTGCTTTCTTCAGACTCTCTTGTGGCGCACAGCTGCTCCGCAAGTATAGGCGCTGCCAAACACACAAGCACATGCACACACACATGCCGTGTTTAAAACGCTGAGAATGCACGCACGCACAGGATTGTGGCTGCGGAGGCCCTCGCGAGGAGGGAGGACGGGAGACTGCGTTGTGTTTTTTCGACGTGCTGCGGGCGTGAATGTGGCGGCATGCATGCAGGTGGGTATTGGGAATGTTGAGGGTGCCTGGGAGAGTGCGGATTGGTTCCCGTCCAGCAGCCTCATGTGCCGAAGTTTCTACCATGCTGTGGATCCGTTGATGGGGTTTATCCGGTTGTGCGACGCGGTGTGCGCCGGCTGCGGAGCGGGTGCTTTGGAGGAGACAGCAGTAAAACGACTGGTGGAAGCGCGTTGGTGCTGCGAAGGGAGGTTTTGTTCTTTTGCACCCCGCTGGTTGTTTCGTGTGGGCGTTGCTCGGTGTGAGCTGACGCGTGAAGAACGGCTCACCCGCCGTGGCTCCTGCTGGTGGTGGCAGTCGCTGTGTGTTCCCGGTGCACTGTTTTTTCTTCTCATTCCGTGTGTCTGTGTGCGTGAGTTGTTGTTGTTGGGAGTGACTGCGGCGGGGATGATGGTGCCACTCACTATGGATGGGTGACGGTGTTCACTGTTGTAATTTTATTGGCATGATTTTTTCATCTTTAGCTTTTTAAATAAGCTAGGGAAAACAAGCGCCAAACGCTACTGTGAAATTTGAAGACTCTAAAAATTTTAACAACAGTACACACACCGCCCACACACACATATTTATATGCTCTCACGTGTTGTTGCTGTGAAGGCACCCCGCACACACAACCGTCGCTGCGTGACCGGATCCAGCGGAAGGAGGAGGGAAGGAGGAGAGAGTGAGCCGCAGAGGCCCAACATGTCCCGGCATGTGTTTACTTCCGCGGTGCTGCTCCTCGTCGTTATGATGTACTGCAGCGCTGGGGCTTCGAACGCCGTGACGAGTAATTCGGGGAATGCGCAATTGCCGCAGGGAGTCGATCTATTTGTGCCGCAGACGACGCAGGTTGTACCGAAAGGTGGAACGTCTCAAGAGACTATGAGGGATTCATTTGTTTCACCCTCTCTCGTCAGTGCTGGTGGAGTAATTGCTGCTTTTGCCGAAGGTCGCGTGTATACCGTTAATGCTGGTAGACAAAATGAGAAAACTTCTTCTGATGTTGTTGCGGGGTACATCGACTCTTCGTGGGATTGGTCTACTCTTGTTGGCAAGGTGAATGGAAGTACATGGAAGGCAAACACCGTGCTTAGTACAACGGATGGAGCGGATAATCGTGTGAATTTTTTTTACCACCCCACAACCACCACGAAGGG